TCAAGAAGCCACAGAGTGGATTACTGAGTTGCGAAACTCTTCTTCGCTTTTGAAGGTATTATACTGGACAGCAAAAGGGAGAAATAAGTATGAGCCTATTGGGAACTGAACAGGTCCATACATTGATTCATTTTTGTTTGTTTTTAGGAGCTCTGTAGCTGGCCCATCTCCAGTTTTACTTTCTAATGCGAACCAATCTTTGGTCAGAAAGTTTTGGACACTCTTGAGCCTCAACAACAGTCCTACTTGTCTGAGATTGTAGAGCATTGTGACCTCTGCTGCACGTTCAATTACATTCTTACTGCCAGCGTCGGGGCAACCTTAATATTTGATGCAGGGGGACTCAGGGACTGGAATTTTTATTTTCAACCAATCCTGTTCAAACTTTTTTTTTTTTTTTTTTACTGGACACAACATTTAAAGCATATTCAACAAAAAAAATCTTCCTGACAATTTGGGGTTAGCAACAGGACGGCTGCTCTTTTATCTTATTTGGGGCTGAAAACACCTACACATATTTTACACACTCCCATTAAGGTTGACAGACTGCACTAGGCCGTACTTGAATAACCCCGATTTGCTATGCCCACAATTATGACGGCTGTCGATCTCGCTGGGAAAGTGCGGGTGTCATTTATCAGGATGTAAGAGTGACAGCAAGAGATCTAGCAGTGAATCATCGGCAGCGTTATCGGACCACCCCTCTCTTGCCACTGCAGATTTGCGTCTAGGAGTTGAGGGACGCTGTTATAAATCGGTCAATGTTGTGCCGGCGTGACGCACTCTCGCTCTTCTCTGCATCACTTCGGCGCACACGTACACAAATAATACCAAACACTGCAACTGAAAAACGAACGCCCCTGTTGTTCTTAAACATTCATATGTGAACCCCACATCCACATGACTGTATTCTTTTTAATTTCCCTGGCCGTAAATGGCTATATTCGAAGTATACAAAGAGATTAATTGGGTGTGAGAGAGTCGATATTTTGAGAGGCTCCTGTCAATGATGATTGGCTGCACCCAGGCATTTTATTGACAGAGACTCTCCACGCTTCACTTTTTAGCCACAGGTACATATGAAAGGACAAGTATAGTCACTCAAAACTAGTTGTGGTGATTAACTCCAAAGTAGCATTTGTTTTTTGACTTGATAATGAACAACAACAAAAACATTCATCCCAATGAAAAGATATCACTTTCTTCCTTTAAAAACAGGAGCTAATTCCCAAACTCTTGTTACATCATCAGCCCTGGATTTGGACCACATGAGGCTGCGCAGACTGACACCCGCCCAAACAGTGAATGTAGATTCTTGGCGGCTTGTTTACAGCTAATAGCGCTAAAACAAATTAAGATGATGGGGCCACTGGCTCGGTGTAATCCACCGACAGTCACTTTCTAAAGATGTTATCTGACAAGAAATTCAGGCTCTCTGTTTAACACGGACGGAAGAGAGGCGCAACAACGAAGACGAGTGAAACGAGGTTGAAAGTAACGCGAATGTGGATTAGATCAAGTAGCAGAGCGGGAAATTGAGGCTGTAAATTAAAAAAATAATTTCTTCAGCAATAAACTGAATTTCAACGGAACACAACCATAGAGAATACATTTCGGAGTGTCCCAGCCCGAAACATGTTTATGTATACTTGCCATTAAGTTGCCAAGTGGGAATTACATTCTCCATTTGGCCGCAGTCGTATTAATCACATTTTGGAAAGATGTTTTATGATCCTGTCAAAAGGCCAGGAGTCTCATTTCGGGCTGGCTCCTTCGTCAGCGGCTAGTTTATAAATACATTATTATACTCTGCCATGGAATATATTGATAGTCTCACGAACAGAGTCATGTGTCATTTTGATCAGTCAGCAGTAGCGTCCCAACGGCTTTGTTTCAAGTCACCAGATTTAAAAAAAAAAAAAAAAAAAAAAATGCTTGATGTGGCTGACAAGACAGGGGCATGGTTGGTCACAATGTGTGATCTCAGTGTTTGCGGTGGTCCCCTGCTGTTTCTGCCGGCACGCACACGTGCACATGATACGATTTTTGGGGGAATGTGCCTTGGGCATGTGTGTGTTTCTGAAATACTTGATGGTTTTGCTCACTTTACACTCCAATTACACAAGGGTGTGTGTGTGTGTGTATGGGTGTGTGTGTGTTCTCAGGCGATTTGTATTGTATTTTGGGGAGGCGTCCAGAGAGGTTGTAGCCAGGTGTAGCAGTCAGAACCGTGGCAGCTCTGCTTGACTCAGCATTGTTCCAAATCACACTGTGACACAAAAAAAAAAAAAAAACGACACTTTCAATGACAAGCGCATACACGCACACAATGCAGACACGCTTCTTTGGGGAGAAATAAATCACTGAAAATTAGCAGTGAGCAATGAGAAATTCTGCTGCTCGGAGTCACATTTGGCGTCTTCCAATCATCGTGACAAATATCGGTTCAATATTTGAAGGGGTCGCGCTGCTTTTGGAAAACAACTGTTTGATCTGACTGTGTTTTCGGGATGTTTGTTTTCATTGTGCAGCTCACAGTTTACATGCACTCCTCCAATTAAAGGTGTTAATTTGTGAGCGCATTTGTGTGTGTGCTGCCTGTTCTCTTTGGCAACCGCGCATGCAAAAGGTGGTAATAACGTTTCGATGTTAAATTTGCTCTGCGAGTGACTGCCAACCGGTTCGAGGTGTGCTCTCATATGTATGCAAGCGCCAAGGCGGGCTTCAGTTCAGCCGTGACTGTAATGAGCCCAAGCGGTATAGAAAATGGACGGATATTTAATTGAGCGAACTTGATTTAACGTTGCGGAGAGGTTAGCCGAGTCGGCTTTACTATAAAGTCGGTCTACCAAGCTTTTTCATGGGGAATATCACAAAGTAGGGCGGAGGCACTTTTATATATTTGGAATTCTTTTGGCGCAAGAACCTTAACTTATAGCAAGTTAAAAAGCGATTGTGATCGAACTCTTTGAGGGACAGCGGTCACCACAGTGGACAGCTTATCATGTTATCAGGTTACAGGTTATCGTTTTTTTTTAATTGAATTTGTCAAATTTATGAAAGTACGACTAATCGCATAGTGGAAATGGCCCTTCTATTATTATGCTACGGCTCATAAAATGATTGATCACCTTTTAAGCTTTAGTACAAAAATGAAATGATCGTCTCTTTTGACTTTGAGCAGCCGTTGTGGTGCACAGCACGGAAAATGTTCCTTGGATGTGTTTTTATCCATGTGGTTCTTATATAAAACATTGGAAACGTTTTTTTTTTTTTTGGGGGGGGGGGATAAATGACAACATGATTAATAGATACTATTATGATTTAAGAACAATTCCCAATCAGTTTCGCTGTCACTGTGTGCTGGTGCAGAAACTAAAGTACCGGTAGTCAAAAAATAAATACCGTAAATAAATGATGCTTTTCTTTTGTTCCTATGACATGCTTCGGCAAACAATAAACTGTTTCTGTTTTTTTGTTTTTTTTTTCTGCCTCGTTTTGTTGTGCTTTCAATCTTCTGGAAGAGCATCTTGTCCGAGGATTACATCCTGCTTTATGATATCGCTGGTGTGCTATTTTCATCCTTTCTAATAAATAGCCTTTAATATAATTACGCTATAAAAACAAAGCTCTTCCCTCCGCTGGCACTTAATCCTGCCGTAGTAAGATTTAGCATAACTATGCACCTACAGTACATGTTTGCACACAAAAGTATCCACGTTGTAGTCAGTCATTAATCAAGATGAAGATCAACACGTGATCACGCCGCTGAAAATAATCTCTTAGCCGTCTCTGTTAATTCTTCCAGTGCTCAATTGCATGGCTAGTGTCTAACGTGTGTGTGTGTGTGTGTGTGTGTGTGTGTGTGTGTGTGTGTGTGTGTGTGTGTTTGTAAATGTGTTTCCAGCCTTGGCTCGCCTCCACGCTGGCCGCCTCATTTGGCTGCAAGTTAAAAGCATGCGGACTCCCAAGCTCAATATGTTATTTTGCATCCAGTCAGGCTTCAGCTGCGACGTCCGACTTGCTGGTTTGATGTTTGGAAGGCTTCCTGAAGCCAAAAGCTTTTTTTCTTTTTGGTCACTCTTACTATACTTTAATTGCATTTTTTTTTTTTCGTTTTTTGCAAAGTGTGTTGGTATTTTACGCGTTCGTCCCATTATGTCGGTTCGCTGGTAGATGCGAAGCTCGACTTACATCATGTTTTGAGTGATACCAGATAAAAGTATGATGGCATGTATGCTAACATTTGCGCTACAGTGCTGTTGTGCAGTTTTAGGGTTTTTTTTGTCAACTTTTAATCATGTGAGCCTTTAACACGTGCACAAAATTCATTGGCTTGTCTTATTTAACTTCTTTTCATGTCTTTTGAATCTTAAGAAATGCCCACTTAGTGCTGTTTTCACTTCTAAAAAGTTAATTACACTTCAGGAGTCCCCCTACTGTTGTTGAGCAAAAACATAAATAGAGTGATTGGGTAAAATTGAAGTGCAAAGTTGTGTTAGGCCACACGAAAAACGAATTGCTTACGGTGGAGTTCATGATGGCAACAATTCCATAATATTACCAACATTTATCAATACAAAACATTTAAAATACTCATAATTTCATTGTATTGTATTTTACGAGGGAAAAAAAGATTGCTTGTATTTGACTGAGCTCAGCCGTTTATTCCCCATGACATGAAAAATTTTATGTAAATCAAATAAAACTACATTTTTTTTCATGAATTTCATTTGATTCGTTGGCCTTTTTTTCATGCTGAAGTTATTTGTCCAAATGCTGCGAGATTTTACCCGAAAAGTAAGACGAACTTTGGATCACCATGCCTTTTAATGCACAGCAATGTTGTCGATCAATTAAGTGGATTTAGCAGAGGAGCCCGCTTTCATCGCTGTGTTGTACAAACGTTTCTTAAAAATCCATTCCAAAAATCAATCGGGGTGGGGGCATTCGATTGCAAATGTCATTTCCTTAACCCTGTTCTCATCTCCTCTTCTCAGAACCGGGCTGCGTTGCCATGACGAGCGAGGAGTGTCCTGTGCCGCTGGGGGGCATTTCCTCGGCCGTGCCAGGGCATCGTGAGGAGTATGGCTCAGCGCAGGCTGATGACATCATCGAGGAAGTGGGTCCAGGTGACGACGCCAGCATCGGAAGTGACCTGAGCACGCTTGTGGTGCCCTTCCCCGAGCTGGCGCCCGTGGTCTTCTTCTGCCTCAAGCAGACCACCTGCCCCCGCAGCTGGTGCATCCGTATGGTCTCCAGTCCATATCCTTTCCATCGCCGGTGGAAATGCTGTTCTTTTTTTTTTTTTTTTCAGTCAATAATGCTGAACGTGCATTTAAGTGTTGACATTTTGCGTCTGAGGTTTGTCAGGTTTAAGCTAAATTATTTGAGGAATCGGAGCTCGAGCTCTAATGAGCCGTGAGAGTGTGAATGTTTGTTTGCGTGTCAGTGCCTTGCCATCGAGTGGCAACCAGTCCAGGGTGGACCCTGGACTTGGTATTTTTTGTGGGAATATGGAATGGAAACTGGAGCTGTCGAGTATCCCCGTGCGGCTGCTACGTGTGTACGCATGCGTGGCATGTGATTGACACAGCCGTTGGTCACGCCTTCTGTCTCGAGGGTCTCTGATAAGCTATTTTTCCCATGGCGTGGTATGTTTTAAAATGAGCATTACGAGAAAAATTAGAGGCGTAAGGTAATTTTCATAAAACATTTTTAATATTCCACTGTGAGGTCATAAAGACGATTTGACAGTTTTTTTTTAAACTGCAGCTCCTTTTAACAGTTACATTTATTCAGATTTGTGTGTGTGTGTGTGTGTGTGTGTGTGTGTGTGTGTGTGTGTGTGTGTGTGTGTGTGTGTGTGTGTGTGTGTCAGACAGGGTGGGTTAATTGTGTGCATCTCGACACAAAATGCACATCTGCTTTGTTGCATTGTGTGCATGCATGTGTGTGCATGCATGTGTGTGTGTGTGTGTGTGTGTGTGTGTGTGCTCGTGTTAGGGAATGTGTGTTTATGAGAGGGTAATAAGAGGCTGTTTCACCATCTTTTGGCAGATCAATAAATCTGTCCGCCACTCAGTTAAGAGGGGCCTTCAATCTCTTTCTCTCACACACACACGCACGCGTGCACACCTACACACACACATAGACACCTACACACAGACACACACGTCTCCAATAGTCTCCCACGCCTGCAGCAGAGCACCTGGAGCACTTCCCTCTGATGCCGCAACCCCCGCACACACTCCCCGTCATGAGCCACTCTTCTTACCCGCTACGGCGCGCTTGACAATCCCCTTCAGGACACTTGATTGGGTACACTTCCACCGCCAAATGAGAGCGGTATCTGACGGTGACGCTCCATGTTGAAGCACACAGTTGGAGAGGTTTTTGAAAAAAATTTCGCAATGTATTGTGGTCATTTGCCTCATACTCAATGCTGTTTTCTAACGTGATGGTCCTCTTGAGTAGATTAAGGTGGAAACCAAAAAAAAAAAAAGTCTCTTCAGCTTGGTGCACAGCAGTTGCACACGTTACAAAACACTCGTTTCATGCCTGGATGCACTTTTCATCGATGCAGATTATCTTGTCCAGATTTTCAACACGCCCATTGCGTGTAAATTGGGAATGAACGCAGAAACACAAGAGAGGCAGTTGTGGTTGTGGACAAATCTGAAAACGTGCACTTGGCCTTTACATTTGAAAATATCTTTTGTATGGAGTATCAGAATAGTGTGCTTGTGACTCGATGCGTGTTTGGAGGTATGTCATTAAACTGGGTCCCAGGGTCCGAAACAACATCCCCGTTTCGCAGAGACATATTTTGATGGAGCAGCATCAAAACAAATCCTCCCCGTTTCAATCGTCAGTACAGCTGAAAGCCCAATAATATTTATTTCCTCCTGCGTTGCCTTCTTTCAGTCTTTCTTGCCCTTCTTCTTCCTTTTTTTTTTTTTTGAACACACATATACTGTAGCCTCTTCTTGTCATCGCTTTTGATTGGCTCCTACGGTGTTCATGCAGAGTCGCCGGCCTCTGTGGCCCATGATCCTCTCTGGCCTTGACAGCTTGTTATCTCCATGGTGACGGATGGCTGAGGCGTTGCCGTGCCTCGCTCTTAACTGGTTCTGAGGATGGAGCACGCACCTGGGACACATCATCCACTTTCGCTCACCTTCCAGCTCCGTCTTAATACAAGCTCCTCGGGCAGATCTCTTTATACTCGACTTTTGCTTCACATTCTGGAAGTTTCAGTTGAACATGGCGCTCTCTGGAAGCGGGTGAAATCGTTTTCAAAAGTATCCCCATCTTTCGCATTCTCTTTGCTCGCTTGCCCCCCCCCCCGTGGTGTAGTCCAAACTCCACTCGTGCATCCAGCATCTGAGTTGGGGGGGATGCACACATGCCGAGAAGGCTTTCAAGTGACTGTAATGACTGTTGTCGTCGCAGGCCTCAGCGCTTGCACACTCTGCCTGACCTCTGTCATACGTAGCACTCTTGTAAGACGCAGCCTGTGTAATGAGCTTGTATGGGGTTTTGTTTTTGCTTTATTTGTTTTTAAATGGCATCTTTGTGTAATGAGCTTGTATGGGGTTTTGTTTTTGCTTTTTTATTTGTTTTTAAATGGCATCTTTCAAAGAAAAAAAAAGAAATCCAATAATTTCGATGCTTTTCCATTAGAATTAAAGAGATGGTGGGTTCAATTAAAATGATTTTGTTCCCTTGTAATGAGCCTTGCTTCTAACTGTTAACGGATTTAGAGATGTATTTATTTCTTGATTTCCAATCGCCAAACTGCTGTGGTTGCGGTCTGGAGGTCCTTCAAAGTATTGAGGAATGGTTTGGAATGTATGCCGTGCCGATTTGCTAATTGCTACATTGTGTGCATCCGATTGGATTTGCCCTTGGGTCCATTTTGTGGGTTTCTTTATGCGTTTGCAGTTCGCTGGTAAAAAGACGGAAATGGTCGGAAGTCATCAATCATGCTGCTGTCACGAAAGCGTGGCGAAACTCAACGGCAGCGGTCGAACCTTGACAAGGAACAATTATAGTAGATGTACTGTACTTGAACACAATCGTCTAATTTAAAAAAAAAAAAAAAAAGACTCGGTTCCTACATGGCCTATATTCCCTTCATTTATTATACAGGGCTGTTGTTTTTCCTCTTTGAACTCTCCTTTTGCTTCATGGCGAAGTTGTGCCTCATCCAAGAATCTGGACGTAGCCCACTCTCACCTTTTTTGGCAAATAAGATGGGAGGTATGAAGGCTAATTCCAATGTGACAACTCACTGTGCTTTCACTTTGTAAAATAACAATGGTGATCCATGTTCATTGTTTCGCGTTTTCCTTTCAGCTAATGCTGTCGAAAAAAAAAAAGACAAACAAACAATAGTTGCTTGCTTAAACACGCTGGGCTATCCTGATTAATACCGCAGAAAAATACCAATGCCCATTAGCCGCGACATGATCCGACAGTGTAATGAGATCCAGTATGGGTGCTCGAGCAAAGTTTGTAGATTATTCAGAGGGGTTTTACAGTTGTAGCCATCGACGGTCCAATATTTGGCTTGCCTGATTCCCGTGCTGGCAGGGTGGACTCAGTGATGGTGTCAGTGGATATCTCTGTCTACATGTGCGCTTGATTGATTGATTGATTGGTTGACTGGCCACAGTTCCAGGGTGTAGTCTGTGTTTCACCCAAAGTCAAGGTTCACGAAACCAGAATTGCGAAAACTGAAGAAAAAACATTTTCGCGAGCCGAAATAAAATGAAAACGAAAATGCTTGGAAAAAAAACAAAACACTCACTGAAACTACACCTTTAAGTTCATAACTCATTAGCTAAAACAAACACATTATTGTGAAAATGTCCTCGGGTTTCATCTGTGTCTAAAGCGTGGCGAAACTCAACGGCAGCGGGCGAACCTTGACAAGGAACAATTATAGTAGATGTACTGTACTTGAACACAATCGTCTAATTTAAAAAAAAAAAAAAAGACTCGGTTCCTACATGGCCTATATTCCCTTCATTTATTATACAGGGCTGTTCTTTTTCCTCTTTGAACTCTCCTTTTGCTTCATGGCGAAGTTGTGCCTCATCCAAGAATCTGGACGTAGCCCACTCTCACCTTTTTTGGCAAATAAGATGGGAGGTATGAAGGCTAATTCCAATGTGACAACTCACTGTGCTTTCACTTTGTAAAATAACAATGGTGATCCATGTTCATTGTTTCGCGTTTTCCTTTCAGCTAATGCTGTAGAAAAAAAAAGTGACAAACAAACAATAGTTGCTTGCTTAAACACGCTGGGCTATCCTGATTAATACCGCAGAAAAATACCAATGCCCATTAGTCGCGACATTATCCGACAGTGTAATGAGATCCAGTATGGGTGCTCGAGCAAAGTTTGTAGATTATTCAGAGGGGTTTTACAGTTGTAGCCATCGACGGTGCAATATTTGGCTTGCCTAATTCCCGTGCTGGCAGGGTGGACTCAATGATGGTGTCAATGGATATCTCTGTCTACATGTGCGCTTGATTGATTGATTGATTGACTGGCCACAGTTCCAGGGTGTAGTCAGTGTTTCATCCAAAGTCAAGGTTCACGAAACCAGAATTGCGAAAACTGAAGAAAAAACATTTTCGCGAGCCGAAATAAAATGAAAACGAAAATGCTTGAAAAAAAAAAAACAAAACACTCACTGAAACTACACCTTTAAGTTCATAACTCATTAGCTAAAACAAACACATTATTGTGAAAATGTCCTCGGGTTTCATCTGTGTCTGTCAGTATCATGTATGAGCTTTCGGAGTTGGTTGAGTTTCAGTCATACTTTTGTCATTTGAGAATTGTAGTACTGTATACTCAAGAATGAATTATTTTTTAAGTATTGCATCTGACAAACAATCCATATATTAAAAAAACTAAAGCTAATACTAAAACAATGCATTTTCAACCCTCCCACCAAAAAACTAGTAAAAACGAATGAACCTGCTCTAAAAACTAATTTAAATTAACCCAATAAAAAAAACATGGTAAATGAATTGCATAAAAAAAAAACCCAACAACAACAAACAAACCTCAAACCATTGAAGATTTGTCAGGATGCGCATAGATTTTATTCCGTGACGGTGTTCGGGTTTGCAGGAAGTGTGTGAGTCATTGGGGGATGTTTATGAATATTCTGCTCTTTGATTGATCATCAGAATGTTTCCGCGGGATCCATTTGGCCACTTGCAGCACCCGCTTTGAGGTCCAC